CGAAAATTGTATACTTTTATTTAGTTTTTTACATATTAGAAATAACTTAAAATTCATAACACACTAAATTACAATAACATCCGTTGAAATTAAGCAAATAATAGTATAAGATTTTGAGTATAACTATCATGATATCACAAGTTCATAATAAAATTTAAAATATGAAATGAAAAATATATGTATTTTTTAGTTTTTTACGAGTTTCGTATCGTGTTCGGGTTAGGCGGGTCCAACCCGAAATTGACCCGTATTTTTCGTGTCAATTTCAAGTCGACCAAATTCTGACCTGAACTTCTTTTTTCTCAACCCTAACCTGTAAAATTCATGTCGTTTTCGAATCGTATCGTCGTATCGTGACTCATATTACCGGCCCTACTTATTAGATTAACAACTCACAATCCACAATGAACAACAACATCAACGACAAGAACCAACAAAAAAAAAAAAAGGAAAAAGCGGGCGGGTCACAATAAGTCATTGCTCATTTGATTGACTTTATTTTATGGGTAATTAACACAGATAATTCTCAACATATTCGGTAAGTAAGTGACAATTTAATTCCTACTTTTTTAATTTTGATAGAACAACCCTTAACATTTTTAAAGATGTGCAATTCACACCTTTCCATCCACATCTGTTAATCTTTTCACAGAACATTCCATGTGACTGTTCACATGGCCTTCTTAATAAGGATATAATTGTAAAAAAGGACTATTGATAACACCACCTTCCATGCCAAATCCAACACTTCGATCTTCCTTTTACCGAATCCACCACTTCCCAGGCCAAACCCAATCTTAGATCTTCCCATTACCAAACCTCCTACACACTCATTATTCCTTCTTCACTGCCAAAAGGTCGAAGCTTTGAATTTTTGGAGAGAGAGATGGGGCAAAAGAGCTTCTGAGCTTAGAAAAGGACAGGGAGGATTTTTCTTCCGGTGACGGCGCTTTTTCAGCCCCCAACGACAGACGATTTGGCGTCGCCTTACCTTGTGGCACCCAAATCTAGAAGACCTTCAACAATATCTGGATTACCATCCTCTATGGCTTCGTCGCCATCCTCGTCCTTCATGATACAATTGGCGTCGGAAACCTCGCCGGCACCGAAAACGACACCGCCAACCGTGTGATCATCGAGGAGACCAACTAAATCCTACCCAATATCCACTCTGACAGTGACCCCAATGATCCCGACAACTTCACTGGACCGAGATCAACGATCCCAACGATCCCGCAGTTTTTATATTTCGTAAACGGTTAGTCTCGGATCTTACTTAACCTTCAAAGCCTTTTGATAATTCAAATATTGATCATTACGATTGATTACTATGGACTCCATGAGATTGAGATTGTATATAACATAGCTTATTTCGACAATGAATTTACTGATTATTGGGCATTGAACAGGGGTGGTTTCCGTTTCAAAATTGTTAGTGGCCTTTAGAAAATCTAACCTTTTTTTTGTTTTTTTTAATTATTATTTTCAGTTTTGATTTCTTTAACCCTTCCGATTACAAACATAGGCAAAATTATATTTTCAGTGTTATTTTAAATCAGAAGAAGAGGATCACGTGGAATATTCTGTAAAAAATTAACAGATGTAGCTAGAAATGTGTGAATTGCTCCTTTTTAAGAAGGCTAAAGAGTGTTCTGCTAAAATTTTAAAAAATTAAAACTAAACTGTCACGCATCGAATAGGTTAAAATCTCATTCGTTTCACTAAAATCTCGTTCATTTCACCTCACCAATTTAAATTTTTAGTTTTAAGTTTTTATACTCTACAAATTATATGTGCCAATTACTCATGCTTTATTTTTCATCACCTCTTACACACAACACCACGACCATCAATTCCAGTAGTAGCACAGTTGAGGTCCCCAAACTCCTCCTCCAAAACACTCCCATCATCTCCGTTCCCGAATCTCGCCACCGTGCAATCCGCCGCGAACAGACTCGACGCCGCAAACTCCCTGTCTCCGCCGACAACCGGCATCGCCACTCCCATCTTCACCTTGCTCACGTAGTTCCTCCCATAAGTCCTTCCCAAGACGCCCTCAACATCACCACTCAGGGGATAAAACCTAAAGCTCAGATCCAAATGTGCCAAGCAATCCTCCTCCGTGACGCCGTAGTTATGGATCCGCGACTCCTTCTCCATGATCGGAACCACCCTCGCTCTAATCTTGAATATCCCTTCGACCTCTACCTCCACCAAGTTCGCCGTCCCGCTCCTCGAGACGATGATTTGATGCGGCGAGTTCTGCGACCGCCACGTGGTGTAGTCGCCGGCGGGGAGGGGTATGGAGTCGCCGTCGAGGGAGAGGGAGAGGCGGTCGACGTCGTCGTTCCAAATGGAGGTTTTTTGTGCGGCGAGGAAGAGCTTATGGCGGTGGAAGAGGATTCCGAGGGATTGGACCCAGGTGAAGTCGCGGGTGAGGTTGGGATTGCGTTTGCCGATGAAGTGGGCGTTGATGTGGAGGTTGGGGTCGGAGACCAGACAGAAGTCGGCGTCTTTCTTGCCGTGGAAGTAGAAGATGATCCCTGTTACACCATGGTCGAGAGATGGACCATCCTCTTGAGTGGCAGACATCGAGGACTGCTCGCAGAGGACCGAACGCTGGCGCCGAGGCAACGCCATTATCTACACCGAGAGATCGTGCGCGGGAAGGGGCGCCGGCCGCGACGCCTCGGCGCCCCGAGTCCATGACGCCGGTGCATCACCGTCGTACCCTCTACCAGCTGTCTTGTCAACTCGAGGAGGGAAGTGCTGATTCGACTGCTACTGCAAAAGTCAGAGGGTCAGGTGGCAGATAGGAAGGATCAGCCGCATTCCCTGGGATAGTCATCATGAAAATCCACCTACCTCACGATTACCGAGAACAGATGATGGCTTCCTCCTTGGGAACGGAGAATACACGTTCACATGTAAAGGCCTATAAATAGGGCCAATGAAACCCAGAAAGGGGTTAGACGCCACTTCATTGTAAAAGAGAGAATTTGTAACCAGTTGAAAGAATAGTGCATGCACAAGTGGATTAGGCAAGGAATTACTGCCGAACCACTATAAAATGGTGGCCTCCTTTACGTTATTTTTCAATATTCATATCTGATTGAACCATGAGTGTTTTTGGGAGAGATAACTACGAGTTGCCGAAAAACACCGTCAACAATTGGCGCTAGAAGGAGGGCCAAAAGCCCAGAAATTCAATCTAGTTTTTAACAAACTATGCCTCTCAGAAACGCACGCATGCTATCGGCCAACCCGATAAACCAGACGACTCAAAACCCCGCCGCCGCTGGGACCTTCGCGAATTCACTCCCACCAGCTGCCGAAGGCCCCCCAGACCGTATCGACTGGCTCCAAAGACAAGTCGAAACGCTGGCCGCAGCCGTAGAAAGGATGCCTACGGCCCTCGCCGGGCGGAGTCAGGGGCAGAACCCAATGCCCCCGCTCAAAGACGCGCCGATGAACCCGGTGAACACCGCTGTTGGGGGCCAAGAGATTGGCGACCAACGCGGTGACACCGAGAAAATCAGTGATAGTCGAGCCAATGATCCCCATCCGGCCAAGTCGAACAGGTCTGTCGGGAGCAGACAACAGGCGGCACGGAAGAGAGCGCGGGAGAAGGCTGCGGCACAAGCTGTGAACAACAGGGACGCGCCCCCTCGACTGCAACCGGACGCGACTAGGAGGAATACCGTCACCGTCGAGTCTTCATCTGTGCAAGGCGGAGACCTCAGGACGAGGCTCGACACCCGACGCGGGAAGGCCGTGCAGCTGCCAAGAGAGGAAGAGCTCGCTGCGGATAACAAGGCCTTAGCCGAAAAAATGGCTAGGCTGGAAAAGCAGATTGGTAGTCGACTGAACAACTTCAAGCAAGTCGTTGGGAAGGTGGCCGAGGCGGTCAATGTCGATGCCAAGATGTACACGTCTCACGACCATCCGTTCACGGAAAACATCATCCGAGTGCCGCTTCCCGACAGATACAAATCGCCCCCCATCCCGCTATACGACGAAAGGAATGACCCGGACGACCACTTGGAGGTATACACATGATACATGGTCCTGCATGGATGCCCCGAGGAGGTTATGTGCCGGGCATTCAGGAATCACCTCTCCGATTCCGCGAAGAGGTGGTTCAGGTTCCTGAAACCAAACTCCATCACCAGCTGGGATGATCTGAAGAACGCCTTTTTGACTCAGTTCATAGGTGTCAAGAAATACATCCCACCAAAACAAAACCTCTCGAGAGTATACCAGGGACCTAATGAGTCCCTGAAAGACTGGATAGCCCAGTTTGGAGAACGGGTCGCCGCCACTGAGGGGATCTCCGACGAAGTGGCCTTGATGGGGGTGCTGTCGAGCATGAAAAAGGATATCCCTTACAGCACAGACCTCGACCGGAGACCGCCCCACACCTACCAGGAATTCCTGACGAGTGCGCAGGGGTTCATCAACGCCGAGGAGGCAAAGAAGGCCTTGAAGAACAAGGCAACAACCCCTGCCAAGGAAGAGGTGGGGCAGGCGAGCAGTCAGAGCAACGGTAAGAAGCGCCGAGGTCCTCCTCAGGTGCAAGCCGAGCCAAGGCACAACCCGGCTCCGAGCCACAGGGGCGGCAACGCCTCGACGAGCTAGGGGGATGCCAAGCGGCCCAAGCCGCAACGGTACGACGCCAACACACCCCTGACTATGGGGATCGAGGACGTCTACCACGACATCAGCCATCTCCAGGTCTTGTGTCGAACTCCACCTCTAAAGTCTGACCTGGCACGGAGAAACCAGAACAAATACTGCCGTTTCCACGGCGAGAGTGGTCACACCACGGCCGAGTGCTATGACCTGAGGGATGAGATTGAGAGATTGATCCAAGAAGGGAGGCTCGGCGAATACCGAGCCGACCGCCGGAACAACAACAGGCGCAACAGCGACCGACGGGACGAGCAGAGGCACGATAACCCGCCCGAACCCGTTAGCGTTATAAGAACGATCTTCGGGGGACCGTACCTCGGCGGTACCTCTCGACGTGCACAGAAGGAATACGCCCGAGAAGCGAAGGAGAAGTTCAGCCAGAGGATCATGAACGTCTCCGGACACGAGGCTAAGGCCGCGCGATATGATGACGCCGAGATCACCTTCTCGGAAGTCGACGCGAGGGGAGTACATTTCCCCCAGAACGACGACCTGGTCGTCGAGGCCATGATCGGTAACCTTACGGTTTGCCGTATTCTGGTCGATAACGGTAGTTCCGTGGACATTTTGTACGTGGACTGTCTCGACAAGATGGGGATTCCTCGCTCAAGGCTGCAGAACAGCGCCCAACCCCTGTACGGTTTCACGGGGGACAGCGTCGTCCCGGAAGGGGCCATCGAACTGCCCATGACCATTGGAGACCGACCACACACCTCGACTGTTATGTCAAAGTTCCTGGTAGTGAAGGGAGGCGACCAATACAACGCGGTCATAGGACGCCCGACCTTGAGGGCCTTACGAGCGGTAACATCCATCTACCATCAGATGATGAAGTTCCCCACGCCAAATGGGACCGGCAAGGCCAGAGGCAACCAGTACGAGTCGAGACTCACGTACTCAGAAACCGTACGCCACTACGCTGAACCGACACGGGTACGGAGAGAGCTGCGAATGGTCGAGACCAGGGCAGAGGGACTCGAATTGGATCCAAGGTTCCCAGGTGGAGAGCCCGGAGCAGGACCAGTCGAGGAACTAATTGAGGTCCCTATCGATGAAAGGGACCCAACGCGAACACTGAAGATAGGCTCAGAGTTGGGGGCACAGGCCCGGGAAAAACTGGTCGAGTTTCTCAAGGGAAGCCTCGACGTGTTCGCTTGGACCCACGAGGACATGATAGGGATAAGTCCTGACGTCATGTGTCACCGACTGAACATCGACGACAAGTTTCCGCCTAAGAGACAGAAGCGTCGACCAATGAACGCCGAGAGGTTCGAAGCCTTGCGGGAAGAAGTTGATAAACTCATGAGAAACAACTTCATCCGAGAAGTCTTGTACCCCGAATGGGTATCAAATCCTGTCCTTGTAAGGAAGCCGAATGGGGAGTGGCGAACGTGCGTCGACTTCAGCGACTTGAACAAAGCGTGTCCTAAGGACAACTTCCCATTACCCCGAATTGACTAGCTGGTCGACGCCACGGCAGGGCACGAGCTACTGAGCTTCATGGACGCGTATTCTGGGTACAACCAGATACCAATGCTCGATCGCGACGAAGAGCACACAGCGTTTGTCACTGACAGAGGGCTCTACTGTTACAGGGTGATGCCCTTCGATCTCAAAAATGCTGGAGCAACCTACCAACGCCTCGTCAACAAGATGTTCGCGGGGCAGATAGGGAAGACTATGGAGGTCTACATCGACGATATGCTGGTAAAGAGCAGGAAGACCGAAGACCATGAGGAAGACCTGGGAAGAATGTTCGGTGTCCTCATAACGTACCAAATGAAGCTAAACCCTCGAAAGTGTGCCTTCGGCGTCGCTTCAGGGAAGTTCTTGGGTTTCATGGTGAGCAGTCGAGGGATCGAGGCCAATCCGCAAAAGATCCAGGCCCTCCTCGACATGGCATCGCCAAGGAAGCCTAAGGAGGTCCAGAAGCTGACAGGCTGTGTGGCCGCACTTAATAGGTTTATCTCTAAATCCACAGATAAGTGCATACCGTTCTTTGACACCCTGAGGGGAAGCAAGCCGTTTCTGTGGACGGAAGAGTGCGAACAAGCGTTCCAGCAATTGAAGGAACACCTTGGGAAACCCCCTATGCTGTCCAAGCCTGTGACCGGGGAGGTGCTGAGCCTTTACCTGGCGGTCTCAGAGCACGTCGTTAGTTCGGTGTTAATCCGTGAAGAGAAGAAGGTGCAGCTGCCGGTGTATTACACTAGCAAGCACCTCCTCGACGCGGAGATGAGGTATCCTGAGATGGAAAAGCTCGCCCTAGCGTTAGTTGTGACAGCGAGGAAGTTACGACACTACTTCCAGGCCCATAGCATTTAGGTCCTGACCAATCACCCCCTCAGGCAGGTGCTATAAAAGCCCGATGCCTCTGGTCGACTCCTTAAATGGTCAATAGAGCTCAGCCAGTTCGACATCGACTACAAACCACGGAGCGCTATCAAGGGCCAAGCCCTAGCCGACTTCGTGGCAGAGTTCACGGGACTACCAGCTGAGGTCGAGGGATCTGATGAACCACCACGATGGAAGCTCTAACGACAACGGCAGTGGGGCGGGGCTGGTGTCACACACACCGGAAGGACACAAGGTCACCTCGGCCATCAAATTCGAATTCCCCGCATCCAATAACGAGGTGGAGTACGAGGCACTGCTCGCCGGACTCCGGTTTGCGGAGCACTTAAAAGCGGAGAACCTCGATATCTTCAGTGACTCACAGCTTATTGTGAATCAAGTGAAGGGCCAATACCAGACCAGGGATGAGAAGATGGCCGCGTATTTGAAGAAGGTTCAGTGAGCCCTGGGTAAATTCACAACCTATGACATACAGCAGGTGCCAAGGGCAGAGAATAGCAACGCCGACGCCCTCGCCAAGTTAGCGACGTCGAGAGATTCTGAACTCTTGAATGTGGTACCCGTAGAGGTCTTGAGGATTTCGACCATAGCAA